ACTCGAATATTTTCTCATTTTTCCAGCAACGCCTGGGCGGTCATTCCCGTCCAGGACTTCCCAATACTGGGCGCTCGAATCGCCCGCCATCACAATTGGCGGCCATTGGGGCTGGCCGGTGCTGCTGTTTGTTTGTGAATATAGGCGGATGTCAATAGTGTGAGTAGCCGCAGTCAAATATTTTTTCATTTTCCGAAGGCGTGATGAGGCAGACCATAAAACTGGTGTTTCATATTCAGGACCTAATGAGGGAACATTTCCTCTGTGTGAATGGAAAAATGTATATAATTTTTAACACATGGGCAACATATTCCGATTTTGCTACATTTGCCAGATTTGGGTGAAATGAAATATACTAAAAGGGTATAGAAATTAATGTAAGAGGCAGAAGGTAGATCCCCCAAACAGATAATTTGCTCTAGGCCTGTCCGTCCGTCTGTTTGAATAAACGCTTCAATATTTCACCGCAAAACTTTTTTTGTAGTTTTCCATTTCCCATACATTCCTGCGCTACAGAGTTAACTTAATTCTGCCCACAATTAAAAATCTTCATAAACTAAACTTTGCACATGTATGTAATTTTAAAAAGTAAATCTGCTCTTCAATATCTATCCAAATGGGTGAATCCTAAAATAAAATATGAGCAAAATAATTATACCCTAGTATTACGACCAGGAACGTTTAGCGGCGGTTTTGCATTTAACTTATATTGTATTCATACCATGAAATTCTTTAATTTCTTAAAATTACAACTTTCAATTATCCAGAATCCTTTCCTAGCCAAATTAATTATAATTAGATTGCAATGGTAAATAACTTTTCAGAAGAGAATAAACATTATTGTATTCCCCAGAATAAAACCATGTGATAGTTTTCATCTCTGTCTGTGAATATTTGTTTCTTTAGCATATATTTCCTGATGTGCAATGAAAAATGAAACATTTTCCAATTCTTAAGGCAGTTCAGCATAGTCTAGCTACCATAGTCTTAATTAATTTTATGTTAACGAATTTTGTTTGGCTCTCCGCTTCTGTACAATAACATGTATGGAAGTAATCGGTAACATACTGTAAAGCTGTCTGCGCATAGCAGGGATTGATTATCTCTCTCATTCTCTCTCTCTCTCTCTCTCTCACTGTTCTCTCTCATGAGCTAGCATAGCGCCAACAACAGCATTTCTAATTTGGTGAACAGCTTCTGTGCAGTCGCTTTCGGGTGTTAGGGCTATTTACAGCGGCCAGTAATCCAACTACAACTTTTGATCTTTTGGATATTCTCACTGGGTAGTTACCGTATTCCGAGGAAGAATTGATCGTGTTCTGCTATTAAAGCGTATTTTTATGGAAATATAAGTTACTTGTTGCATGTTGTAGTTTTTATTCCTTGCCATTCCAATTGGCCCATGTTTAATAGTTTGTGATTTTGTCAGTTTCATCCAATATTAGAAGGAAATCAATTGCGCATTGTCTATGCATGCCCAGTGTGAAAACTTGTAAATCAAATGCATACAATAATGCATTTTTCGTTTATTAAATTCTGCGATTTTCGTATGCAGGCTGCTCTTATGAGTCGAGAGCGAGCAACAGCAGTGGCATCCTTTCACATGTAAAGCAGGAGCTAGGGCCAAGTCCAAAGCTGAAGCCGGAGCCAATGCCAGTGCCAGTGCCGTAGCCGGAGTCGGCCAAACGGACATCTTATGAACTTTTACAGCTCCATTATATGCAAATGATGAAAGCAAGAAAACAAATATTGCTACCTCGGGCAATAGGCAACAGCCAAGGCGGACAACTGCACAAGCACATACACGCACTCTTACACATGTGAACAACATAAAGGGCATTGTTTAGCTGCCAGCAGGCAGGGGAGGGGAATGTCAGGCAGGGTATACTCATATGCAGACATTTACATAAGCAAACAGCTTCTTTTGTCCGGCCATAGGAACAGCAACAACTTTAGCATAGAACCGGGCAAAAGAGGACAGCACTGAACAGGATGGCTGGCAGGCAACTCGAACTACTAATAAACCAACGAAAATGGCAACGGATATTAAGCCCAAAGCCGCCCCAGTGTCTGTATCAGCATCAACGTCGGCTACGGCCACATTCACAGGCACGACCACTGCCAGGGCCTGCCACAGTCCGCAGCCCAGAGTCCAAAGCCAAAGCCAAAGACCAAAAATGAACGAGCAATAAGGTATCACATGCAGTTGGCGGGGTCATGGCCGGGTCCTATGTTTATCAGCCGCTGCCTGATAGCTTAAACAAGTGGCCGAGGGCGCACATTTGTCCGACATTTACTGGACAGCAGGAATGGTTTGAAAAATGGATAGGTCCTGAAAAATCGTACGTAGCCGACAAAAACTAAATTACCATTCAAAGGCACACAATTTGGCAATGCAGATTGAATGTGTTGCCGTCGGCAACTTTGCAGAAAGTTCTGCGATTTCTCCTTGTCGGCACCATGTGGGGAAATTTGATTTGTCACTTGTCAGCCGCTCGCTCAACTCAACTCATGCTCAGCTCGTCCAAAGGCACACTAATGTGTGAGAAAGCGAGTAATAAGATAAAAGTTTTCTTTTGGCCGTGTGTGTCAAACTTCTTCATAATCAGCATAATAAAATCACAGCGCCGCAAAGTATGCAGCAGACAAAATGAAGGACAACAATGTTCTGACTACGCAGCAATTATGCGCACTGTGCAAGTATGTGCGTAAGTGTGTGTGTGTGAGAACAATGACAACTCATACGTGCTGAAGTTTTTCTTGGGCCGTTACTTTTTGCCGCCACTGCTGCTGCCTTTTAAACGTATTTCTTCATGTTTTCTTTTTTTTTTTTTTTTTTTTTTGGTGTGCAAATTTAATCACTTAACCCCAATAAAGTATAAAAGCCTGCCGCCGAGTGGCATCAGCATCAGCATCGACTGCAGGAAACTTTTCCCCCAAGAAAAAGTTGTGGAAGAGGCTTCGAACACACCGAAGAGACGCCAGAATATCAGGAGCTGGGCTTGTTGCATGGCAGGGGAAATTGATTTTTCGCTTGGCAGCGGTCGCAGCATGAGCATATTAATTCCATCTACCCATTCCGTCAGTGTGTGGGTGTGTGTGTGTGTGTGTCTGATGCGCATGTGGGCGTGTCAGCGCCCAAATGACAAAGTTACTTACATTACCAGGCAGAACTTTAGTTGTGCTTCCTTGACTGCGCATTCTCTTAAGCAGAATTAATGAGTGTTTCTCTCGTATTCTTTCCCTCCCCCCATCCTTCTTTCGCTCCTCCTTCTCGTACGTTTTCTTTGCTGTGGTGCTGCAGCTGCAAGTTCAAACTAAATTCACTTTTGAGAGCAAACAAATAGCGTCAGCAACGAAAGTTTTGTATATTTTTGAATATTTTCTTTTTATTACTCTATTTTTGCATCGCCAAGAAACTCCTCAAGTATTTGAAGTGTACACAAACATACTATGTCTACGTATATTAAACGCACACATGCATGGAACAACTCTCTAAACTAACTTACAAAATACATAGTCGACAGAATGTGACGGAGTGGTGCGATTCTTCCATGTAGGAAGATCATACATTGATTAAGACTGCCGATAAAGATAGAAGATTTTTTACAGCTTGATCCGAACGCTCAAAAAAAACTACTCAGGTATCAGGGGAAATTTTAATTAAAAGCAACTATGGTAGAATTGCAATATTGAAAAGTGTAGATAAAGAGTTTCGCAAAAGGAGAGTATTACAAAAATGCTTTGTTTTCAAAATCAAAATTTTATTGCAATCCCATAATGCGTATGAGTTATATTTATGTGTACTCTTATGTAATACTTATTGCCGAAAGGCATGACATCTATGCAGCTTACTCTTTTTGATGTGCAACAATTGCAATCCCATTTTTCTAACGTTGCTGCCCCACCTGCTGCCCCGGCGCCGTAGTGTCTCTCTGAGGACAGGCGGAGTCAGTTGTCAGTAAGTCAGTCAGCAGTGCAGATGTCTCGCTGTCTTCCTGGCTGTGTATACAATAACATCCTTTCACATTTTATTACACTTGTAATGTGCAACGATTGGTGGCTGCTACGACTGGGAGGACGACTAGCAGAGTGAGCAACCATTTGTATATGTGCGAGCGTCTGTCAGTATGTTTGTGTCTGACAGCCACAGGCGCTGTAATATTGTAAGACACGCACCGAAGAGCCTTCTCGCCCCTCTAACCGATGTGCGCTTGTATCATTGTCAATATTGACAATAAACAAGTTTGCCGTAAAACGTTACACAAGTCGAGTAGCAGAAACAACAACAACAACAAAAACAACAAGAAGAGGACCATCAGCATCTTCGGAGTGTTTGAAGAGGAGCAGAAGCTACAAGTTTAATGCTCAGTCAAGCACAAAGGCACTCATACGACCCCATCATATGAGTATTCACAAACATACACGCACAAACGTATAAATCGGGCACTCAATCATGTTGAAGGCCAAAACCGCGCATCCATGTCATTCAATGTAGTCATGTTGACTTATTAATCGAATTTCCTACGTTGTCCCTTTGAATAGCCTTCATGCAGCTGCTGACCGTTGGCCACTTTTGTAAATTAAAAATAGTCAGCAGCCCTGACGTGCGCTGCCCGATAAAATGTTATTATAAATTATATTAAATATACATAAATTGTGCAGAATTTTATGCGTCAGCAACAGCAACACCAGCACCAGCAGCAGTAGCAGCAGCAGCAGCAGCAAACAACAACACTAAAGGGCAATCAGTCATTTGGCCATGGGCCTGACATTTATGTAGCCCAGCAACAACAGCCCCAAACAAACTTTTATAATTAATTAATTAAAAAAATAAAAAAGTAACAACATAAGTGCCCATTATGCGGAGCAGGCAATTTGTAAAAACATAAATCAATCATGGTCTAGCATTAAAGATTAAATCTGCACACAATTCTCCCGAATCAAGTAAACCGATTGCTCAGCCACTTTCTCCACTTCTCCACTCCATCTCATTGCAGATTTCACAGCCGGCCTCCGTTTGGTCGAGGTGCGAATACCAAATTACGTGATTAAGGGCTCCGCAACGCAGTTGGAATGCCTCTACAATCTGGATGGCGAGGCGCTCTATTCGGTCAAATGGTACAAGGATGGCAACGAGTTTTATCGCTATGTGCCCAGGGATATGCCGCCGGCGCAAACATTTCTGCTGCCAGGTGTTGCCGTTGATGTGAGTACCCTACAAAAAGTCATATATTATTAATGATTATGTAAAAAGTGTGACTGCTACTGCTACTCAGTACTCAGCGGACGAAAGATGTTCTCACTTCGTAAAACTCTCAAAAGTAACTAAGAAACAAAAATAGAAATGTTGTGAGAGTATTGTATTGGGTATCAACACAAAATTATGAATACTCACAAATAAATAGTAACAATTTTATATTCTGATCGCTTTTAGAGCACAAATTTGGTAAAAGGTATCCGAAATTTTCATTGGCCAGCTTAAGCGTTGAATGATTATTTCAAACAATTTGTCAGCCAAACTGCATGTTAAGTTACATTCGAGACAGTAAAGGTTTTAAAATAGAGTTTAATGCCAGCTAAGGACGCGTACCGCTGAATTATTTCACAGTGTGTATACGAGAGTGTCAGAGCCACTAACTCGAGGTATTGTCTGCTTTCTCCTGCACGTATATATGCGCATGTGAGTGCGTTTCGTAGTAAATCTCACATTAAAACAACGCTGCATACTTTGCGGATGATGCCTGCCCGATGTCTGCCAATGCACCCGTTGGTTTGGATTTTCGGGCGTGTAGTCTACAGCAGCCAAGATATTTATCACCCGGCTGTGGTGTAGATAATGCGCGTGCTTGTCTGCTTAGTTTTTGCAATTACTAAGATATAAACTGTGGGAAACGAACAAATAATGTAGCTGTTAAATTCACTGAGTTTTACAGTAATTATATAATCCAATATCCAACTGGATATTCAATGCGAGAGCACTATGCCAATGGCAGCTTCAACAGTTTTTCCTTTTTAATATACCAAAAACAATTAGTCAGTGAACCATTCCAGATTACATAAAGAAAGGAAGGAAAGTATAAATTGCTCAAAAGAATAGCGGGATGCTTAATGAAATAGATAATTGCATTGAACTAGAATTTTTGTATTCCTCTTATATCGCAGTTGCGTTAAGTATGCCCCTTTTTATAGAATCCATTGTATATAATAACAGGCACTGAACCGCTCGCTAAACCAGAGCATTGACTATTAATCAAAAGACATGATTACAAAACTGATTAACTTTGTTTGCTGTAATACTAATGTAGGCAAAAAATGAATACCTTGGCTTATTGCATTTAGAATTACTTTTATCGACTTACTATATTTAGCTTTAGCTGGCGAGGTAACTGTAGCTTGATAGACAACTAACTCTTATCTATTCTAACGCCCTGGCCTAAGTTGAGAACGCCAACTGAGTTGAACCAACTAAAGAGGCGCTGCTCCATTATTTTTGGCACAAAACTTTGGCACGTAAAATGCGCTGCACGTTAACCGGTTGCTCTACAAAAAGAAAAAAACTAAAAAAAAAATGGTAGCCCGTAGCAAGCAAGTTGCGTGCTCATGACTGGCATGCTACCTGCTGCCTTCCAGCGTTGGTGTCGAACTTGTACGCTGAGTTCGAGATAAGCACGTGAGGCACCAGCATTTGGCCCGGCAGTCAGTCAGTTATTCAGTCAGTCAGTCAGTCAGGCACGCACACACGTACATACTATACATATGTACGAAGATATGTATGTGTGTGTGTGTGGTATGTGAAGAGCGCGTCACTAATCGGCTGCCGAAAAAGTGAATCTGCTCGCTATGTGCAGAACTATGCGAGGACTCATTGTCTATAAGTACACACATATGTAAGTACATATATGTACTTGTATGTAGAATATGTATTCAGGAGGGTTGTATCAAAAGTTTGTAGAACTACTTTTATTCCTTCACTGAAAAGTTATGCTCGCCAGTCCGTCTGTCTATGAACAGTAGTAGAGCTCAACAATAGCTCTAAACTATTCCAAGATCCACCTGTCCGATCACTGTATTTTATTCCTGTTATATGAACGATATTCTAAGGGATCCTGTATGATCAACTATTTGTTTATAACAATATTGAAGCAAAATTTCATATAGATCGTGTTGTTATACAAACTATGACAATGGATGACCAAATGCACAATTTGTTAAGAAGGGCGTACGCAGCTTTTTCTAAAGGGGGCCAAGCAAAATTAAAATTTGGTTTAAATAATGTGCGATGCGTTAAAATAATAATACGTATGCTTACGCCCTTGTATGTAAGAAATGTAAGGATTTTTTGTATTAGCAGAGAGTCCATCGTGGACAATCATTCAATTTGTTAATTAAACTTGCGGATTAATTATTTCCTATTAATATTACCTATTCATGAGCATTGGCCTTTTTAAATCGATATATTTTCAACATATATTCTGACATACATACTTCAGATAAGACAAATACGTGTATAGTATTTCATCTGTCAGATGTTCAATGGGAAGCTGCATTCGAAAATCTAACCTTTAAATTTTTACCACCACAGAAAACAATAAACACTTACAACATAGGAGAATCCCTTAATAGCGTTCTATTGGTGTTTTGTTTTATCTGCGCTGTTCTGCAAATTACCGATCAATGAATTCTTTTAGATAAATTTTCATGAAATCTAACTCATTTGCAGGAATAGCAAAGAGAAGTCTCTTTATTTTCCACGGTTCAGATGAGTTCAGTGTAAAGACTGAGCTCCAATTATTCTTAGAACCCCACTCGCAGATTGGTGAGGGAGTTGCTGAAGTTTGAATGCAATAAATTGTTCAAGTTGCGCTTTTCGTTGTCTGGTCTTGCGCATTCAGGGAACTGCGGAGGCGTGGCCGGACACACACTGAACGTGTCTATAATGCGCGCTATAACAACACCCGCCCGGCCACATGATTTTTGAGTGTCCTGCCAATGGTGAAGGCTTTGGTGGTGCTGTCGGTGTGGTTGACGGCGGCTCTTCCCACTGACTGCCGTTGCCGTTGCCGGAGCTGCTTTTAAACTTTGATGTTGTGCTGCAGATAAAAAGGAGCGCGTGCAAGGCACACGGAACATGTTGCAGGAGATGCCCGAGTGCGATAACTACTTTGGTCATGCGTCTGCGGGCTCCTTCTGCTCGCCCCCCCTCCGTCTGGCCATCCGCTTCCCGGCTGTCTATGCATCCACGTACGAGTATGCCCGAAATGGTTGCGCATACATGCCGCGTACGAACTTAATGGTTATATCCAACTCCATTGGCGGATATTGTTTTAGCATAATCGATTTGAGTGACTGACTGGCAGCTCCCTGACGGAGCTAGGGATGTGGCCAGAGCAGACCGAACGGCTGCGAGCAACTTTTGCTTTGTTGCTGTGTGGTGTTGTTGCTGCCGCTGTGTTGTTTTATTGCAGTTGGAAATAGTTTGGGGCTTAGACGTGAGGTTTACCTTAGCCGGTATGCCCCACAGTGTGGTAACTATAAATTAGGTTAAAACAACAGCAACAGCAGCAGCAACAACAACAACAACAGGCAGGCCACAATGAAAGCGAAAAATGCGCAATATAAGATAACAAAGTGCACTTTCCGTAGCCCCTCTCCATCGCTCTCTCACTCCTTAGATAAACAGATACACCAGTAAACGGACCCATTTACCACATACCTTACCCCACTGTTGCGACCAGGGACGCAAATCAATTTGAAACAATGAGGTTGTTTTCAAAGAGTTCCCATTAGAGTGAATCTTCTAGAAGACCTGGGAGCCAAATATTTAAAATCAACCCGCAGTTCAACTCAATAATAAATTCAAATCGACTTTTAAGTTTCCCAAATTTGTTGAAATGGTTTACTAATGCTGTGTATGGACCTAACCAGTACTTACCTGTAGGTCGCTGAAAACAATTTTGCATCCCTGGCCATTTCGACTTAATGGCTTTAAGTTCGAGTGAAATATTTGCGAGAGCTTTGACCAAACGACAAGCCCACATGAGGGGCTCAGTTAGAGCAGAGTGTTTGGTCGAGTGACCCTTAAAGTGCCGTCGTGCAACTTTAAGTTGGCCAACAAGCATTTAAAAAGCATTTAAAAGGAGGACCGCTTCGCAGCATGCGGCAGTTTTCAAAAGCAATTACGTTACATTAACGTCCGAAGTGGCTGGATGGCTGACTCTTGCTGTCTATCATCAGGACTCGGTCGGTCGGCTGGTCGGCCGGTCGGCCGGTCGGCTGGTCGGCCGGTCGGCTGGGCGGCCATTGAGGCTGCCAACTGCATGGCAGACTCGTCTCCCGCTGCCTCCTCTTTTTGCCTACGTGGTGTTCAAAACTTTCTGCTACTTTTCGTTGCATTCCTTGAGTTTTTGTTTTGGCCCCCCTTCCCCCTTTTTCTGTTCTTTTATTTTTCGTTTATTTTCCGTGCTTTACTCATTCAACAATTTTTAATTGCAGTTGCACAACTCGAGCGACGCTATTGTAACGCTGCGCAACGTCAATCTGCAGTCGGCGGGTCGTTTCCGGTGCGAGGTATCCGGCGAGGCGCCATCATTTCAAACGGTCACCGAGCATGGCGACATGGTTGTTGTGTGTAAGTATTTTAGCTCACTGCTTACGGGCAATACTATTGCCCATTGCCTATTGCGCGTTGGTGTGCTTTTATTGGTTAAGTGTACGTGTGTGTGTCTGTCTGTGGGTGTGTGTTTGTCTGTCTGTGGGTGGGTGTGTGTGCGCACTTTATCAAAGTCAAGCGAAAACGTATAATTCTAATTAGAAAGTATGTGTGCGCTTTGTTGCGGCTCTGCCACTCACACTTGCCACAGCGACCTGACTAAGCAAGCCACTGAAAGTTGACACAAAGTCGCGAGCTACGTTTTGAAGAACTGCATGGTGCGACATCTAATTTGTGGCATTGTTAGCGCCGAATGCTTAGCTGTTGCATAATAAGAATATACTTGTATGTATAATACCGTGACTTATAGACATACAGCGCCTGAGCTACATATATTATTAATTAAATTATTGAAATATTTATTATTATATATTTATTGAGTACACATTATTATAAGCGTTTACATTATTGTTGTGAAATAGAATGATAGTAAGGAAATCACAGAATTGCATATTCTAAATACTTCCAATTATATAGTGTGGATCACTTTTAAATATCACAAAGTTGCAGTTATCTAGCTTGATAGGAAATGATTCAAAGGGAAATATGTTAAAAAAATTAAAAGAAAGCATAGAGAAAACAAATTACTTTTTTTTATTTAATTTTCCAAAATATTGGTGCATTTTCTTTTCATTAAATATACATACCTAATATATAACCCAACAAGAGTGGTACAAATTCAATTATCTTTCCAACCCATTATAGATTTTTATTATATTTACTTAAAGAAATATTCGTTTTTGAAACGAATGTTCCAGAATTATTATTGCAATAGAGTATTGATATAATTGCACTATTAAGGTGAATAATCGGCATATTAATGAACACTTGTTGACTTGTTATAATTCAAGTTTAATCGCAGATTAATTTAATATTCTTTTCTACATACTTACATACTCCTATATGAGAAAGGGAACTTCTCTAAGCTCATTGTGAAGTTTATTTTGTTAGCCGCCCCAAAAGAAGGAAACAGTCTAATTGACAAACTTCACTTGATTTCATGCCCATATTATGGGGGAAGTACAGGGTGCGCCATCTTTTATGTCGGTATGTAAATATTGAATAACTTTGTCATTAGTGAACCGATTGAGTCGAGTAGACCAGTGTTGAAACCCTCAGTTCAAGAAATTGTACAGAACCACATTAAATAAAAATATCTCATACTTGAGAATCGGTTATTTATTTTCAAAGATATTCAATGTTTACATACCGACATAAAAGATGGCGCACCCTGTACCTCAACATGTCCCGCAGCTGCTATGTGGATGGAGCAGCAAGCTCAGCTTCTACACACGCTTCACTTAATTCTTCAGCTGTCGCTGTACCTGGCATTAGTCCAACTGGGGAAGAACAGTTTCCTTAGGCCATCCAAAACTTCAAGATGCCACAGCAAACTTCAAATGCAAACACAATAACTGACAGACCGGCAGACAGACTGGTAGGGGGCAGGCGGGCAAGTTGGCAAGAAGCGAAACAAGCAAACATTTTCCAAACAGCTTAAAGTTAAAGTGCTTCGGCTGTCATTCTCACGGTCACACGTGCCCAAATTTTGGAGCAGGATGTGAGCTGCACTTTGGGCACTGACGCTCACATTTCAATTGTTCAATTATAAACTTTGGGGAACGCCCCCAACCTCCAAGGCAGGGCAAGAAGGCAAACCCGGAACAGGGAACGGTTAACTGAAAACTGCTAACGCTTTTGTCTTTGTTTCGAGCGCTTTTGTTTTGGTCGCTTTAGTTTTTAGTGTGTGTGTGTGTGTATGTTGCTCATATTGTGTGTTGACTGTTTGGCTTTCAATCAAAGTTTTTAAAAGCTGCAGCAACAACAAGCGCAGCAAACTGCGAGCATATGCCGCAGCTGCCTTGGCTCTATTGTAAAAAACCATTTCCGTTTCCGTCGCATAGTTCTGCATTTTTGTTTTTTGTTTTTTTTTTTTTGTTTGCCGGTCTTCTGTTTTTCTCGTTTTTTTTTTGGTTTTTTTGTTGTTGCTATATTTTAACAGCCCGCCTGTCAGTACATCAACAACTCGAACTTTTATTGAATTTCCGTTGGCAGACAGCGCGACTTTGTTGTTGTGGGTTTGGTTTATTGCAGCATTGCTGGGCTCGTTCCTGGCCAAAGGACCCAGCAACTAGCCGTAAATTAAATTTTGCACAGCTTGATTTCGTTAGAGGCCATACAAACGCCCACCTACTCCTATACATCTCAGCTTCGGACAGTCGATAGCCAGTGCTAACGCGCCTTTATTTCCTTGCAGCTCTGCCGGATCAGGGGCCGCCCAAAATAAGCGGCGGTCGTCCGCGCTATCAAATCGGCGACTGGGTGAGAATCAACTGCACCGCAGGACGCTCCAAGCCGGCCGTTAATCTATCGTGGTTTGTCAATGGGGAAGCTGCTGACTCAAATCAGATACGCAAGTACGATACCATTATATCGGGTCGAGAGGGCTTGGAAACCTCCGTGCTTGGTCTTCAATTTCGCGTGGAGCAGCATCATTTCCGTAATGGCGACATGAAGTTGAAGGTACGTACAATAATTGGCTTGGGATTGTTAATAAAAGTACATAATAATATTCAATACTGAAAACACTTTAATCACTTTCAAAAGCTAAGATATTACTAGATATAAATCATCAAAAATTACATTAAAAGTGTAAATAATTATTATTTCATCATTTGTAATGTCATGCAATGAGGACTTTTAATTTTCCCTCTTAATGTTACATTAGTGTTTTTATCAGCATTTGAAGGGTCAGAAGATAAGAAATGTCCTCAACACCATTACAAACTGCAAAGGTACAGAAATTAAGACTTGCCTTTAATTTACACACAATGTTCCAGAGTTACAAAACGCATATCTATTTATCAGTCATAATGACTTTCAGTCGAAAAAAGAGAGAATTTGTAGTCGTTGGAATGCCATCTACGAGCGAATCTGCTCGTCGAACCTGCTCGTCAGCAGAAATGCAACAAAATGAGTAAATTTTGCAATGCTTTATTTCGCAAATATTTGTTGTTTTAATCTTCACATCTTCCACAATGATGACGTATTTTGAAGGCATTTAATAAACTAGGGGAAAAATTCTTTGATAAATTCGACATGTATTTACTATTCTTTACAAATGATATTCGTACCAATATTGCCATCCATTGTCGAACATGTTCTCGCAAACAAACGCAAGATAGAAACATTTCTACTCTTCGCGAAAAGAACATCGAAAACCAACAATAATATCAAAGACCTGCCTACCTTACTAAAAAAAAACTAACTAACAACGAAAAATGATTAAAATAATATATACATATAGTATATATATTTTAAAATTCTCCTATTATACTTTGAAGAAGCTAATACATTTAACATCATTTCATAAATAAAAAGATTGTACTACAAATAGTGTTTTTGCACTGATGGACTGATTAACCCACAATTATAGAAATTAATGAGGCTCTAGGGAGCAATTTATTTAATAAGACAAGATATTGGTGTTGCAATATATGTTAGACGGAGAAACCGGCATGTCTTTGCAGACATCATACAAAAGTTCAGCAAGACGGTATATTTCGATGGAAACGTGTCCATCTGGAAAAACGCCTGTACTAGTATATGCAAGGCAGAGGGTCCTATTCTCTAGGCAACTCGAGTCTATTTTATTTTTATTTTGTACAACTCCACTATTTAGCACTAATTCTCTACATTCATTGCAATACAATTTCAAAAACATTTGATTATCAAATTGCTATTGATATTAGTTTGCAATTATTAACAATCCCAAGTTATTTGCAACTGACCAAGCACGATTGCGACTCATGATGTCTCCATCTATATTCCAACAGTGCGTCGCCTCACTCTCGACGTTCTACTGGCGCAGCAACGAGGAGTCCGTCGAGGGGGACCGCCCCCAAAAGGCGCCCGTGCTCGAGTCCCGCGAAACCGTCTACGCCAGCAACTCACGCGCCGATCCCGTTCAAGGTATGTCATACCGCGAACAATTTGTTACAAAAATCTTATCGTTTTTCATTCAAACAAATGCAGCCAGCAAAACGGATTCGCTTCTGGCCTCCCGTGCGCCAAGTGCGCTGCTGCTGCTTGCGCTGGCCACGGCGGCCACCTTGGCCGGCGGCTGTTGGCGGGTCCAGCAGCTGACCGCGTCCACGTCCGCGGCCACCTCGCATACGCACGGCAAGCGCAAGGTCAAAGCGGTTAAAGGTCATCCAAATGTTAATGATGATGAAAACATTGTTGTTGATGACGATCATGAAAATAAGAAAAGTGACGATGACGATGATGTCGCAATTGGGGAAGTTGAAAAGCGCGTTGTAGTTGAGTTGCTGGCCGCGTTAAAGCAAATGTTACGCAAGACCCTGCAGCAATCCTGGTATCTGAGGAGTTCGATCGGAGGGAGCCGAGCAGCAGCGTCCTCGGTGACAGAGCGGCAGCAGAGCATGCTGTTGACTGCACGGTAGCTGCACTAAATAGCAGAATCGCAGTCGCAGTCGCAGCCGCAGCCGCAGTCACAGCCACACCTTCTTCCCCGCCCATTTCCCAACAGAGTTCAGCTGTTGGGATCGAAATCGATAATGTTCGCGTGAAAATCAGCTTCTTTATTTACATGCATGCCGTTAACAACAAAAGCTTTCTTGGATATAATTTGTATAAATGGAACGTATTTAAACTTGACTATACTATACTTAAATTAAATTATTTATAGCTAAGCGCCACGCATTGTATAAAAAAAAAACGTTGTTGAACAAAACCTAAATGTCATTGCAAGTAACGAGCATGTTTTTAGCTGCAACAACAATAAGCAAAAAAATATTATTCATTAAAAGTACACAAAAGAATTGTTGAGCTCATTTTCAACAAGCAAACAAAAAATCACTGTAAATAGTTAATGTTTAATATGTGTATGTTATTAATTTATTTATAAGCATCAACACTCAATACAGACCGACGAAGCAAGTCGATAACTTTCTCGTGTTTTATAGAAACAAAAAATATTGAGCATTAAACAAATTGGGAGAGAAGTAAGAGAAATAATTCAAAAGCAAAACAAAAGCATGTTCAGTGCAGGAGACCTACGAGTTTAAACAATGAAGTAAATGTAGTTGTAAGAATTCTGTAGCTAAGTGCATTTAAATAAATAAACAAGTAATTAATAGTTTAACAATAATTGTGTAGCATTTGCAAAAACATGTAAAAATAATTACAATTTAATACTGATAAGTGCGCAAAATAAGAGGGCCGTAATTAATCGTATAAAACATCAATTTTTTAATAACGCACTCGCATAATTATTTTTGTTTAATGGCTAATTGGACATTAAAGTTTCACTGCAGCTTATACAAATTCATTTTTTAATTGAGAGTATTTGTGTTCCACTAATAAGTTATTATGGAAATGACCCCGCAATTATATCAATTCGATTTTTTCCTTTAGATTATTTCTGATAATCTGTAATACTTGACCTGAAGGGCATTCTGTTTTAATTCAACGCATTCATGCAAAAATATAATGAGACGTATTCATTTTTGCATTAAAAAAACATACACAATTAGTCAATTAATAATTCAGTTGTTGTTTTAATTACAAAATACTATTCCGTTTTTTCTGAGCAGATATGTACTTGTACGGTTTTTGCGCACTTGCCAATAATTAAATTCTTGTCTTAAATACATAATATGTGTACGATCAAATAAAAAATAAAAAAGAAGAGAACAAAAAGCGATGAACACATAATTTTAATATGCAATAAGAAATGGAAAATCTAATCAAATGTAGTATTTAAACGCTGGTGACTGTTGAAAAGTCTTAAAACTAACAAAAACATATCGTAAATTTATAAATTGCCAAAGTTTTTATGTGTACGTAAACTAAATTAAAGTATATGTATTAAATCACAACTTTATGAAAACAATCTTTTGAAATATACTGCGTACGTGTGTATGTAAAGATCAATTGTTTGTCTGGAAAAGCGCAACATACACAGCTATTGTGTACAATTCTTTATTTAGCAAAACAAAAGCAACTTCTAAAAACATTCCATGTTATTTCATTTATTTTCCAAACGAAAGTCCAGCGCTGCCCACTGACAAATCGCAAACTGTTGAAATAATACGAAATAACTGAACAGTTTAGTTAGCCAAATTTAGCATCAATAGCAGAAGTCAACAGCGAAATGATGAGCAGAAAAACCAAAAAGCAAAACAATAGCAAACATGATTGTGATTAAGCCTTAACGGATTATTGAAAGAAAAAAAAGAAGAAAAATAAGAACAATTCGATTGATATAAAATTTAATGTAAATAGCTCGTCGTGAGGGCTGCATGAATAGCTTTTTGTCCACTATAATTATCAATATAATTAATTTGCTTTTATTTCGCCATCTCGCACAATGTGCAAATGCAAGCAAATTAAGAGCGTTTTATTCTTTTTCACATAAATATCCATTTTATGCGTTTGTAAATAAAATCAAATGAAAACTAAATTAGTGTTAAGATGTCAGCAACAAAAGCAAAATACAAAAACGCGCCAATTTTAATAATAAGTGACAAATTAACACATAAAATATCAATGAGCCAACATTTAAATGCTAATTGCGCAAATGTTCAGCCAAGTGTGAGTTCCGATGTGAATGGGATTGTGAATGGATTTGTGAATGCGGGCGAGTTTTTACTGTTAAGCCTAGTTGTATAAACACATAAATATAAATATAAGCACATTTATGAATTTGCATTCGATGTAAACTATACCTTTTTAAGTCTCATTTAACGTCGCAGCTATAATCTTAATTACCAAACACATTACTAAAAATAAAAAACGAAAACAAAATCAATATGGCGCCAAGATTGCGCTCATATGTAGAAACCATACGTGTGCTAAAAATAAGTATAAATTATTTGAGTATTTTAAAACGAACATTTTAGATGTATAACAACAAGAAATTAAAGTAAATGCATTCACAAATATATACGATACATTTTAAACATAACGAACATGCTGCTAACAAACTCTTGAATAAACCAAAATGCCATAAAATAATTTTACTTGAATTTAAAAAACCAAACTTTAAGCAACAGCAGCTAGAAACTCTGTAAATAAATTAATTCGGTGTACTATATATAATACATGTATGGTAAAGTTAAATCAAAAAAATTATGAACGAACGTCAAGCAAAAGCCAAGATATAATAAAAAAATATTTGTTTCAAAATCAAATCGAACGTCTTTGCATTAACAAGAAATCATATCCAAAGTTTGTCCTTGTACCCTTAAGAATGTGTTTTTTTCTTGTTCTTAAAAGGATCCACAGCCCTACGGTATTTGTTTGGCGAGCTACCAAAACCCCTTCATAAAATGGGACCGATTTGTTTTAAACTTGAAAACTACAACAGATTTTTTTCTGGCTTTTATAAATACTTTGTAAAGGATAAAAAGTTTTGAAAGCGAAAAAATAATTTGTTTCGCAAATTTGTAAGTACATATTGTATTTATGTACAAGTATGTTCTCACTTCAGTTATAAGCCATACCCTGAACATCCCCGTCGGATTTGCTTTTAGATCTTAAACAGATTCTTATACGTATGGCTTTAATAAAGAAGTAGTAAAGGATAAAAGCATTTGAAAGCGAGGTACAGAATTTATTTCGCAAATTGTATAAACACTTATAAACACTTCAATTAAAAGCAGTTCCCTGGACATGCCTGTCGAATTTTCTGAGCTTTGTTTCTTTTAATATTAATAGCCCACAGGCTTGGTAAGTATGTACACATAGTATATGTATGTACAAATAAAGGACTTAGGAAATTGGGTAATTTTTGAAAAATATTTCTAATACGTGAAAATGTGCTGTGTGTACGTGACAGCGGGCGAAACGACACACAATAACGACTGTGATAAAAAGAAGGGCAACAAGAATACATTTGGCACTCGAGCAAAGAGAGAGTATGAGCAGAGTGTAACATAGAAGAACGAGTGCATATTTAAATGAAAGTGTTACAAAATACGAAGATTATTTTGTCTTACTACAATCTATCACAATTGAAGAGTTTAGCACTTTGTTTGTACGGTAGTCGTAGCTTTTCTATTTGAACAAACCTCCTGAGTTTGAAAAAATTGAATTTAATTTTAACTAAAATTTGGTAATAACTGTTAAAAGATTATTTACCTGTAAAAATAAAATATGAAGCTTAGTCATTTTTAAAATATTGCAACAACTCTTATTTTTAATATGTATTTGATTTGAAACTCAAGATTAGAAATACAAAAAATATAGAAGATTGTGGTCATTATTGTGAACGGAATCTGTCATTGCCTTTCGAGAGTTACCCAAATGTAAAATCGAAGGTTCCATCAGAGCTTTTATAATCGGTATTAACATTAAGCAACCTTAATTGATTTAATTTCGGTAGACCTAAGACAACGACTTTCTTGATCTGAGACTCGGTAGACCTAAGGTAACGACATACTTGATCTGAGACTTTTACTGTTTGAAATTGATTGAAAAGGTCAAGTTCTGTTTATGTAATATTTTAGTATGGCATTGTTTATTTATAATGAAACTAATTTGTTTAACAAGTTCGTTTGGTGTAATTGTACTGCTAAAGATGGGACGCGACCGATACAGCTTGTCTACGACTGCCTATGGATATACATACAACAGCACATGGACTTCTCACAACTACTGTTGAATGTCAGTTAAAGACTGTATTGTGAACAATTTATGAGTGCTCCTTATTAATGTAGTTAAAAAAACCGGAAAAAACCGGAAATTATAATTTGGAAGTATAGTATAAATAGATTTTGTAGCTTATTATTCCTTTTCTAACATTTACAATAATTATTCGCCAACTTATAGTATATTGTGTGTGCCAGATCTTTTAGAAGGCTGCTGATCATAAGTCATTCCTAGGAAGGTAGGTACCATCTAACCGATTTCTTGGGCCATGCCCACAGCTACTATTTGTGAGCATTACTAGAGACTTACAATTAAGCCTCGACTTGTCGTTCGGCTCACTAATAAGCTGCCAAAATATAAACACATTTGATAAGCACAGGACAAAAGCCAAACAAATTATAAGTAGCTAAAGCTTAGTTGAAAAATTTATTAGCCAGACAAGTAATCGTGGCACACCGGCGCTTTCTTGGCGCTTTGTATTACGTATCTCTAACAAATTGCCACAAATGAGCAGATTGGCTCCCTGCCTGACCAGATGCCTACCTGCCACTGAGCCTTCCCACCTGCACAGTTTTATGTGTGCGTCTGACAACAAAAGAAAATGCCATTAAGCCAAATGCCCAGGCAATGGTCACATGCGAATGTTGCTGCTTCTTCTGCTGCTATCAAATGTCACATAAATCAGATTTGTCATTAAGCAGCAAGAGCAACAAAGTTGGCATGTTGCATGGCTATGTGCGTGTTCTTCGGACTAAGTAAATTCGTTTAAAAGTTGGCCAATGCTTAAATA